AGAGAGAGAGAGAGAGAGAGAGAGAGAGAGAGAGAGAGAGAGAGAGCCTCGAGACTACCTCCTCCAAGAGTCTGGGAAGCGAGGTACCAAGGTGACTGGATTCCAGGCTGTTGAGTATGCAGGTGGCGTCTCCAAGGTCCCTGCCAGCGGTGCCTCAGTTTTCCCCCAGAGCGGGTGGGAGCAAGTCCAAGGTGCTGTCGGAGAAGGGCACAGGAAGGTGACTGGGGCTACAGAGCTGGGGCGCAGATGGGGGCGGGGTGCGCGTTTCGTCGTCTCCTCCTCAGCCAGGGCAGGCAACTGGCGGGCTGAAGCAACTGCTATCTACCAAAAAGGGTTGTGCTCAGAGGCCCGGCCGAGTGGTCCGTGAGCCCCCGCCGTATAGATGGCGCGGGAGCAGGCAGCACTATTCCTCCGCCTGGGGCAGGGGCATCTCTGCAGCCCGCTCTCCACCGAGGGGTCTGGATACCGGGTGCCAAGGATAGAGAGCCGCGGAATGCGACTGCCCACAGCCGGCGACACGGGTGCTGCAGCGGCCGGCTGCAACCCGCTCCTCGGCCCCCAGCCCGCGCTCGGTACCAAGGCTGAGCTGGCCAGCCGCGGCCGCCCGCACCTGCGGACACGCGCTCCAGCCGGACCCCGAGACCCGCGCGCTCCTGCAGCCGAGCGCGCGCCGCTACCGCCACCAGCCGCCACCCCGCAGCCCTGGGCCCGGGGCGCTCCGCCTGCGCCGCGAGGCCCAAAGAAGGCGGAACCGCAGCCGCGCGGGGTCCCGGCGCCAGCCGCCAACCCGAACTGGGGGCGCGCGGAGGCTCCGGGGAGGCCCCTGATGCCCCGTGGCCCTCGGTGGCCCTCAGTGGCAGGTTCTGGCCCCCCGCCCCGCCAGCTGCGGTGTCAGGATGCGCGGCAGGTGCGGGGTCGCAGGACACACTGAGGCCACGCGACCGCCCGACCCCAGCATCCACCTCGGCGCCCTCCTGCTGCTGCCGCCACCGCGTCTCAAAGTTTCCCAAGTGCAGCGGCGCAGACTGACCTGGGACTCGCTGTCGGGTCGGTAGTGACGCCCACCACCTTCCAGGATCTGTTCCCACCCTGCTTGAGGATGGCCCCGCCACGCCGTCCGAGCTAAGTGGCTGTCTTCGGTTCCGCGCCGCTTCGACCTCAGATCCCGGCGTGAGCCCACGGGTCCCCGCCCCTGCTTCGCTGAGACAGGCAGGCGGTGGAGCGCGGGAGTGGGAGCCGCGAGGAGCACCTCGCTAGACGCCCGGGTGGCACGGCGCTTCCTCTGGGAGTGACGCGCCCGCTCCCCGGCGCGCTGCAGGTGGGGGCGACGGTCCAGTCCTGGTACCCTGGCCTAAGGATGCTCTCCTAGGCTCAGCCTTCTGTCCGCCTAAGCCCCGCCCCGTGCTCCCTCTGGTCACCCAGCTTTGGCAGCTGCGATGGGAGAGCAAGGGTGTCAAACAGATGAAGATGACGCCCCTGGGGCCTCTGGTCTACACCTGCACTCTCTTCCCCCTCTCTATTTTATAGCCACCCTGTTGGGCTATGATTCTGTTCTTGGGTCCCTTTCTCCCCCTCCCTGTCCTTGTGCCCTCTTTGGGTAAAGCCAGAGCCTCCCTTCAGAATTGAGTGTTTCTGAGAGCAACCGTTCTCGATTTTATTTTTATGAATTTATAAGCGCATTACACTATTATTAAAACTTAATAGACCATTTAACACAATTTCACAAAACATTTCTGGCAGTAAACTCCACTGAGCCATCAAGAAAGAGGAAAATTAAATAGAAGAGTTTCAACTATTCATTTATCTTGAAGGATCTGATGGAGAAAAAGATCCCCCATTTACTGCTCAGATGTCAATCAAAACTAGTTTGTAGGGGACAGGGAAATGTCACTCACCTGAAATCCCAGCACTGGGAAAGAGGAAGCAAGGCGGACTTCCTTTATCTAAACTGAACCCTGAGAAATGGGACAGGGAAATGTCACTCACCTGAAATCCCAGCACTGGGAAAGAGGAAGCAAGAGGACCCTGAGTTAAAGGCTAACCTGGCCTACATAGTAAGACTTGCCTCAGGAGCACACTAGTTTGTAGTTTTGATCCACCAAAGAGGAAACATAACACACATTTAGATAAAGGCGGACTTCCTTTATCTAAACTGAACCCTGAGAAATGGAATCTTTACATTTGTAGCAAATTCACAGGACACCTTACCTCAGAGGTGGCTTCTAAGAGATGGACTCCTGGGTGTGGGCTGCCCTTTGCACACACCCATTCATCTAGATATTTCCAGACAGGCCACAGCAAATTTCTATGGAGGCGCAGTCTCCTCCCCTTCCTCTCTTTCTAAAAATTTTTTATACCTAGAAAGTATAAGTTTAATAATTCTGCATAAGCTGAATGATCATCCAGCTGAAGAAGCAGAATATACCACATATCAGCAGCAGCCTCCAAAGATCCCCTTGTGTCCCACCCAGCCTTGGGAGGAGCGGTGGCTTCCATCAGCCTCCATGGTTTCTGCTTTCTTGTGTTTTGTAACATCGTAGGGTATATGTCTCTTGCCTGACTTCTTTCCTTCAGCATTAAGTTTCAGAGACTTGTACAGTGTGTGGTTGTGATTTGTTCATTCTTTTGGATGTGTAATATTCCATTGTGTCTGTGTATCTCAATTTATTTGCTTTGCTCCTGGTGAGCATTTGGTTTGTCTACAGGCCTGGAAAATTACAAAAATGCTGCCATGAAGATGGTGGGAGATATCGCCTGCTGAACACATGTACACATTTCTGTTGGGCACACATCTGGGAGTGGAGTTCTGAGTCGTGAAATTGGCAAGCTCAGCTTTTGTAGCTGTTACCAAGCTTGAAAGTTGATCCAATTTTCAGTCCTACTTTATTAGAGCCCTATCACTTCTTACCATAAACAAATCACCACATTGATAACTTAAAATAATAAAAATATTTGCATTCTCTTATTTTCTGGAGGTCAAAAGTCAAAACCAGGCTGCATTCGGACTAAAAACCAAGTTGCAGGGTTGTGTTAATTCTGGAGAGCCCTATCGGAGAATCTGCTTTTTTGTTCTTTGTGACTTTTAGAAGCTTCCTGGAATTCCTTTGCTAGTGGTTGCTTCCTCCATTTTCAGATTCATTCTCTTTCCTCTCCCTCCTCTCTGTCTCTCCCGTCCCTTCTTTTCCCTCTCTCCTCTCCCCTGACATAAATCTTCTCCCTTGGCCCCTCTGCTTCCTCTTTCATTCCCTCACCTCATTCTTTGGGATCACCTTTGTGATTGCACTGGGCTCACTTGGATCTCAAATTCTTTAATCACATGGACAAAGATCCTTTTAGCATGCAGTGCAATGCATTCATAGGTTCTAGAAATGAGGTTGTGAATCTCTTTGGCAGGCTATCCTTCAGCTTGCTGCACTCCTCACTGAGGTACTGGAACATGTTTGCTAGAGAAGAGAGACTGGCAGGAGAGAAGAAGGGGCAGACAACGAGGCTGAGGACCTGGTGCTGTGCCAGGTCAGGAAAGGGGGCTGCTGTACCAGACATAGTTTCTGGTCACCACCATCCTGCCACCACTACTAGTCTGGACAAGGGGCTGTCATAGAATGAGAGCCCATGTCGCTTTGGGCTGGGCGTACTAGAGGCAGGCCTGCTTTGTCTGATCTGTGAGGTGTGTGGTCTAAATGTGTTCCACCTAAGTCGTATATTGAAATGGAATTGCCAGTATGATACAAGTTAGAGATGGCATTTTCGGAGGAGATGAGTTGTGAAGGAGGAACCCTTATGATGGATAAAAGACCATGTGAAAGGACCTGAGGGCTGGATTGGTGTCTATGCATCCTCTGCCATGTGAAGGCTTACCATTCACCTAATCCAGAGGATGCAGCCCTGCCATCTTGAAGCTGAGTACAGACCTCACCAACTGAACCTCTTGGAGTTCCCAGGCTTCAGAACAATGAGAAGCAATTTTCTATCATTCCCAAGTCTCCCAGTCTGTGGTATTTTCCTATAGCAACACTAATAGACTAAGACACTGGGGCTAGGAATAGCAAAAAGACAGTTGTTGACACATTCCATTTTGTTCCTTGGGCAAGGCCCTGTTTTGGGTGCAAAGGGCCCCTCTCCCATGCTGCATTCCTTCTCACCCTCCAGCTCTGGGGACTCATGTATTCCAGGACTGCTGGTGGAATTTTCAAGACTGACCTCCCACAGAAGCCAAGGGAAGGTAAGGGTGGGAAAGAATGACAGCTGTGCTGCTGATCACTGAAGAGGGGCCCATGACACACAGCTGTTGTTTTTAGAATAGACTATGTATATTCTCATTTTAATACAGCAACTGTATCTGTGAAGGAGATAGATTGGATGCTATAGCTCGGTTTTGCAGCAAGACCACCGGGGCTCCAAGACACTTCATTGATTCAGTGAAGGAGCCTTGGGAGAGGAACCAGGAACAAAACGAGCCTTGTAGCTCTTCTGCTGCCCTTTGTGCCGTTCCACCTGGCAAGGAGGCGCCCCAAAACCTGAGGAGAGTTGCTGAGGAGGCAGCATTGGCCAAAGTCTGCAAAGCAGGGTGGGGCATCCTACTTTGTGGGTGATACAGTGGAGTCACCTGGAACATGAGACGCCTTGTCCTCACAGTATTATGTCATTCACAATGTGTTTTAGAAAAAGTAAAGGTAGAAACTTGGATTTGATGAGCATCTCTGTCAGAAATTCCTCAATCTACTTTCTGTCTTCTACAAATAAACTGAAAATTCTGTTCTACAGATAGGACCTCTCTGGTTCTCACAATTGTGGGTTTTCTACTGTTTATTTATCTTCAGTTTAATTCAGATATCAAGATAGAGACATGTGGCTTGTCTACTGTCTTGAATTAAAAGTCCCACAGTTCAGTATAGTTGTCAGCCTTATGAATTTACCAAGGAAAAGAGAATCCTAGCCTTGAAGAGGAGATACCTTTTAAAAATAATTTTAATTGAATTTTTGAAAATTTCATTATATATAATGAGTCAGATTTGTGTCCCCAAATGTCCTTTGGTGTGGGCGCATCCACTGAAGCCTGGTCAGCCTACCAAGAGTATCACCCTTAAATGGGACTGACTCTCCCCCTCCCAGTATCCATTTGTTGCCAATACTTCCTCAGGTAAGGCTGGGGCTTCTTACCCACTTCCCTATGTCTAGGCTGGAATTTTGTCTGGCTTGGGCTTATGTGGTACTTGTGCATATTGTCACCACTGCTATGAGTTCATATGAATAACTGACCAGCTGTCTGGAAACCTCTGTTTCCTTGTAGTCATCTATTATCTCTAGTTCTTATAATCTTTCTGCCTGGAGATAACTTAAAGTCACCCATCCAACACATTATAATTCTAAAATGCTCAGAATATGGAAATATCATGTACTTCACATGTGACGGCAAATAGGAAATTAAAGTATCTTTTTATTCACATCTAATATTTTACATATATAATAGTAAAAGACTGAACGCTTTCCCTCTAAGTTTAGGAATAAGGCAAAGATGTCAA